GTGTGTGTGTGTGTGTGTGTGTGTGTGTGTGTGTGTGTGTGTGTAAGGTTGCGGGATAAGTATAAATGAAGTAAGAGGCTGCAGAGCTCAAAGAGACCTTACTAGAGGCAGATCGCTAATTCAGATGCAGAGGATTAATGCAGGTAGTTATATATTAATGATCCTAGTTGGAGAGTTGCTGGAGTATAAGCCATGGCACAGGGTTTCAGGACAAACCCAATGACAGGGGTGAAGGGTTATTAAGGCAAAGTGCAGGACCAGGTCCAGATGGATGGGTGGATGGATGGGCATACAATGGGTGTGTGGGTAGATAGATGGAGGAGTAGATGAACACAAGGATAGATGGGGGACGGTTGGATGGACAGAAGATGGGTGGATGGATGGATGGACAGACGGATGGACAGACAGACAGATGGATGGATGGTAACTTGAATGAACCACATCTAGTACTGAGCTGTAGTCCCTGGGCTGTACACCAGGTATCCAGATGGTAGATCAGCAGGACTCATGTCATCCCAGGATTAGGAGTCCTTCTTCTTATGGAGTCCAAGTGGGGGTGTTTCAGCCTTCCTTGATTCTGTATGTTTGATGGTGCTTGTGACCTGTAAGAGCATCCTGCCTCTGCATTAACACTCGGGAGCAGGCACAGCCTGGAGCTACTTTCACACAAAAGGAGTGACTGAAAGCAGAACACAGCTGGATCTCAACAAGAGGAGCTGAGGGGATCCCAGTGAATGTGAGTGTCACCTTAGCTAGGTCTGATACAAGAAATTTCTATGACAAGCTAGGCTCTTCCCATCCTCCAGAGTTTACAGACACTTACCTGCCTAGAATATTCTGTCCATCTGTCCATGTTTGTCTCTGTCTCTTTCTCATCTCTGTTTCTTCTGTGTGTGTGTGTGTGTCTCTCCCTCTCTGCATCTCTGTGTGTATCCATCTTTTTGTATGTCTCTTTGAATGTCTCTTTCTTTCCTCTCTGTCTCTCTCTCCTCCCCCTGCCTCTCTCTGTCTCTCCCTTCACTATTCCAGCTCTTAGTTTAAATGGCACTCCCACAGAAAGACTTTCCATGCCAACACTAATCTAAATTAGATCATCTGCTACAAATTCACATTCTGAAACCTTTTTTTTTTTTTTTTTTGAAACAGGATCTCTTTAAATAGCCTGGATGGCCAGAAACTCACAGAGATCCTCCTGTCTTGGCCTCTTGAGTGCTGGGATTAATGCATTCATGACCAGCACCATCCCAAATTTTTTGTTTTTGTTTTGAGACAGAGTTTCTCTGTGTAGCCCTGGCTGTCCTGGAATTCACTGTGTAGACCAGGTTGGTCTTGAACTCAGAGATCCGTCTGCCTTTGCCTCCCAGGTGTTGGGATCAAAGGCATGTGTCACCACTGCCCGGCCCATCCTGACCTTCTAAAGCTAGTGTTTACCAGAGTTCATAGCTCCACATTTATTACTGCACATGTCTTTATGGACTGCATCCTCCTGACTTGGAAAACAATGTTTTCTGCAACTCAGCAAACATAGAGCACATAGCAGAGGCTGAGGAAAGGGCTTGATGTGGTTTGTGGAAACAAAACTGGTTTTCATGTCCAGCATTTCTTTCCTCGGAGGTGAGCCCCGCTTCCTAAAACCATGCTACCTCACTCAGTCTTTGAGACTCGCAGATCCTCTCTAGAAAACTGTATGAAGGCTCAGCAGGCGAATGATGTAAAGTTGGGTGACATCTCAAAGCCCTGCCCTTCAGGCCAGACGTGGATCAGAGCCACATCTGACCTCTCTTCAAGTGATGCCCACAAGCTTAAACTCCTCCCCTACCAAGCTCTGTCTTTCTATTCCCTCATCTCCCTCCTCCCCACAGGACCCTTCTTCATTTCTTTCTCCCTCCAAAGCTCAAAGACAGAGCAGCAGCAGGAACAGAAGCACAACCTCAGACTCACACAGACCTGTGCACAAATTCAGACTCAGGCAAGAAACACCTGCATGAACTAAGATAAGCTCCGTTAGCCCAGGAAGCCCGTGCTCACACATAATGTAGATGTACAATGGATAAAGACACTATCTACGTGTAAAACAATATCTTGTATCATCCCTTAGCCCAGGAAGCCTGTGCTCACACACATAATGTGGATGTATAGTGGATAGAGACACTATCTATATGTGAAACAAGTATCTTGTATCATCCCTGACGCACATTTGTACTTTGAACCTGGTGATTTCTGTTACTATTTGTTGTGTCACATGTGAGCACATTTCTGCCCAGTCTGTTTGCAGAGTATGGAACATCCACCAAGAAAGGTCTAAGTAGGAGCCTGTTGTGATTAGGAATGCATCCCAAGCTTGTCTTTCCTACCCTGACACAAGAAAGTCAAAGCAACTCCCAGAGGAGGACTTGCTTCAAGATTCCCAAGGCTTCCGAGCTTGCAACAAAGACAAGAAAATCAATCTTGAACTCCATCTTTTAATTCTTTCTCATGGTTGTTGCTCTCAGATGGAGAATGCAATTAAAAATTAATGTCGGATTAGTTCACTTTCCTCAAAATGAACATTGGTCAGATTCTATCTGATAGGTCTGTAACATCTCTTCTGTAATTATTTTTAAATATATTAGTGGGGATCTGGGTATTGTAGAACCAGGGGAGTGTTTCTGGGAGACAGGAGTTCTGGGTTCTGGCTCTGGTTCTGTGATTTACTGTGTGAAAGTCAAATCTTCTGGATGGAAACCATCATCTCTATAAAATGGACCTGTTGCAAATGCACAGGGTGTCTTGGGCTTACAAGAGTCATGCATATTAAAGCAAAAATTACAATCAACTTTGTGATTACTACCCATGATCCTGGAAAATATGACTGACATAAACCACACAGGAATTAGATCACTGGGACTTGACACAAATATCACATTGTGCTTATTGCTGTGAGAATATAGAGGGGTATCTGGCTCACTCTGTAATAAAAGGGATTTTGCTTTTGACTTTTAAATGACAAAGGAAAGATAGAAACAGCTGGGTCCACTGTTAAGTGTTAAACAACTAGAAAATTATAGCTCTAATGATTCTTGGTGATTGGAAACCAAGCCACGGGGCATCACTTGCCACGCCTGCAAACAGGCTCCCATCACATCAATCTAGTTTGTGATGGTCCCTAGTATTTCTCCTCAGCACCTCCACTGGTGTCTCGGGATATTACCACTTATGAACCCAAGTGCTGCAAACATTCATTCAGCCCCTATCGACAGCTGCTGGTTGTAAGCTCTGGCACTTTCATGGGGCATCTGGATTTTAGTTGGTGGCATAACAAGCTAAATAGCTATGGTCTAAATCTACCCTAACAGTCTAAGTACTGGAATGATTGCAGCTATTCAAGTGCACAGTGTTCTCGTGAGACTAACACTGCTACAGTAAGGCCTGACTACAGCCAGGCCCCATGTCATGGTGCGGTGGGTTCACAGCCCTAGTAAGCTTGGTCCATCTGCCATTCCTGCTTAGGACAAACCAAATCCTTTCCTCTGTCTCAGATCATGAAACTGACAACATTTACATCCAGATCAATGATAAAGAAAGTAAAATTCTTCTCAAAGAAGACAAAAGCCTTCTGATCATTTTGCTTGAGAGAAACAAAGTGAGAAGGGATCGTCTGAGGAGCTGGATGTATCGAGAGCGCCCCACTGTAGCTAGCTCAGGTTATACCCAACATGTCTAAAGATTTCTTAAAATCAAAGTAACATTTGAACAAGAGAAGCTCCTGTGAAAATGAGCTAGGTGCCTCTTGGTGTTTATCTTTTCGTTCTAAAGAATTCACTTAAATTAATCTTTATAGATACATGCAAATTCCACATTATACACATCAGAAATATTTAAACCTGATTGAATATCTATCCCTTCAAGTATTTACCACTGCTTCATAGTTAAGAAGAAGACATTTAAAGTCCTTTCTTCTGGTTTTGTGAAATATTCAGACACTACATTTCTGCTGTCTACAGTCACCTGCTGCACAGAGACACAACAGGGATTCTTGTCCCTACCTGACTGCAGCCTGGAACCCACAAATCAGTCACTATCTCTTCCCTGGGAGAAACTAAAGTTTGTATGTAATAAAGAAAGGGGTATAAATGTCTTGACACAGTGAATTCATTTACTTCAGACTTATACCTAGAAGTGAGGTTGCTCTGTCATTTTTACCTTTTTTATGAACCTCTATGGTACTTTCCGTAATGTCTGAACCACTTTCTATCCCCATCACACCCCTGCCAGCACGAGCTGCAAGCTTTCTGATAATAGCAATTCTGATTTCCGTTTCTCTGATAACCAGAGATCCTCAGCTTTGTTTTCTGATGCCCACTGTTCACATGAGTGCTTTACTTTTGAGAAACGTCTCTTCAGATCTCCTGCCTGTTCTCCATCAGACTATTGCCACTGCTGTGGCTGCTACAGACACTGAGTTCTTGGTGTTCTTACAGATGCTAGACACAGCCCTCAGTCGCAAACACCTTCCCTACTTCTTCAGGGTTGTCTGCTCATCCTGTTGGTTCCGAGACTGAGGATGACACGTTGTAATTTGATGAAAGTTAATTTTTTTCTATTTTTATCTTTGCTTCCTGTGGTCTGAGGGTCCTGTCCAAAAACTTGCAAACATTCTTATGTGCTTCTGTGCTCTTTCAGGAAGTGGCGTTTCAAAGTTTGGGGGCATATTTAAGGCCTGCCATGTCTCTCAGCCAAATGATGTGCTTGGTTCTGGAAAAAGCTCACAGTTTAACAGTGTAAGGTTAATGGGCACAGTGAGGGCAGGCGATTCAAGAGTCTTAAAAGAGCAAATGCTCCTTTTATGAACCCAGTGGGTGATCTATTTTTCTGAGAAGAGGTTACTCATTTAATGAGAACAAATTGATTTTTCACATAAAATTTAGGAGGCTCTGAAATAAACAGGACATTTTTTTCCACTTCATCTTCCTGAACAAGGATTTCCTGTAATAATA